TACGGTGTGAGCCACTGCGCCTGGCCTCCTACTTTGTGAATAAGTATTTTCATAGATCACAGGTTGTCATTTTCAGGAAGCACAGCTGGTGTGTTTTTGATTGTTGCTCATGTCTTTAGCCTCATGTTAGAGACCCTGTTCTTAGTCATGACCTGGACACATCCCTCTTGAGAGCAGCTGTGACCACTGGTGAGAAGTGCCGCCCACACCATCCACTGAGGCTCCCATGCAGACATTTAGGCCTTCCCACTGCCGCTCAAAATGGCCCCAGGCGCCCTCGGGCACCCACACGTCACCAGCGCCACGAAGGGATAAGCAGGCAGGCCATGCACTTGGTGTGGGTTTAGGTGTCTGTGTTGGGCAGAGGTAGGGAGAGCCCTTGCTGGGTGTGCCTGAACCTCCTGGTGCCCTGTGCCCCTCTGTGGGCCTGGATGCCTGGTGCTGCCAGCTGGGCCTGAGCCCCAAGGAGCCGAGGGTGGCTGTGGCTTGGAGGATCAGTGGGGTGACCAGGAGGGCATGGGGCCGGGTGTTTCGTATCCTCAGGAGCAACACTGGGCTCAGAAGGCAGGCACACTTGCCGTCCGTCAAGCCGTGGCTGGCCAGGCCTGGTGGGCTGTCGTGAGGACAGTGCTGTCCCTTTGATGCAGGGATGGTTGTGGCTGTCAGGTGCTGTCCCTTCCAGGCAGGGATGGGAGCCGTCCTGAACACGGGCCAGCTCTGTGGTGAGCGCCCATCAGGGGCAGTGACGTCCAGGCGCGTTGCACTGGTGGCATGTGGCTGTGTGGTGTGGCTACCAGGAGCTGTGTGGGCAAGGACAGCTGTGGGCCGGGCACAGAGCTCTCTCTGCAGGGGGTCAGTTGGTGCCGGGCGAGGGCCGGCAGAGCTCACAGAGACCCTCTGCAGCTCAGCTCACCCCGCAGCTCTGCCCCAGGCAGCAAACCCACCGCTCCCCTTTCTGCCACAGGAGGCCGTGGAGAAGGTGACGCAGCACATCCACTCACTGTCTGGGAAGAAGGACGGGCTGGTGCCCATGTTCATCAACACCCACAGCGGCCTCTTCACTCACCTGGGCGTGTTCACGCTGGGTGCCAGGGCCGACAGCTACTATGAGTACCTGCTGAAGCAGTGGATTCAAGGCGGGAAGCGGGAGACACAGTGAGGCCCCCCGCCCGCCCCCAGCCCCGCCCCACAGGCCCCACCATGCCGTGTGCCAGGCTCAGCCCAGGCATTTCTGTGGGGGGGGGCATATTCATTTCTCACCATGGCCTCTGAGAGGGACCACTCTCACTGAGGACCGTGGGCTGTGTGAGGTGCGTGGCCTGCCGAGCTTGCGTGGGCCCAGGATGTGCCTGTCCCTGGTGCCCTGCAGGAGCCCGTGTGCCCATGCTGGCGTAGTGAAGTGACTGCTGGCGCCCACAGGTTGCTGGAAGACTACATGGAAGCCATCGAGGGAATCAAGACGCATCTGCTGCGGCGCTCAGAGCCCAGTAAGCTCACCTTTGTGGGGGAGCTCGCCCACGGCCGCTTCAGTGCCAAGATGGTGAGTGTGCCATGGGGCCTCTGACCACCCCTTTTACCTTGGCTTCCAAGATGCCTGAGTTGTGGTGTCAGAACAAGGAAATTCTGGCCACAGCGCCTGTGGGGAGGCCTAGGTAGACTGTGCCAGCCCAGCCAGGCCTGTCTCAGCAACAGGGCAGCGAGGCCTTGTGTGGCGTGCGGGCGGGCAGGGCTCCCCTGGGCAGCTCCCTCCGCCAGCCCTCCCCGTGCTGGCGTCGGGCAGTAGGCCCTCAGGCAGTGGGGGTGTGGGGCCGCGTTGGAGGGGCCTGGCCTAGGCGGCAGCTCTGCTGTTCCATGGCAGGTGCCCTTATGTGGCCACCACTCCCAGGGTACCAGGGGCTGAGGCGGCACTGGGCCCAGCATTGGCTGCCCGTGCAGCTGCAGGCTGAGGGCGGGGCCTGGGGTCTGGGGCTGAAGAAACCCTCTAATCCAGGACCACCTGGTGTGCTTCCTGCCCGGGACGCTGGCTCTGGGCGTCCACCACGGCCTGCCCGCCAGCCACATGGAGCTGGCCCAGCAGCTCATGGAGACTTGTTACCAGATGAACCGGCAGATGGAGACGGGGCTGAGCCCCGAGATCGCACACTTCAACCTTTACCCGCAGCCTGGCCATCGCGATGTGGAGGTCAAGGTGGGCCTGGGCCTGGGCCGGGGTCCCTCGGGAGGGTGCCGTTGGGGCTGGCCTCGCCCTGAGCTCTGCCCTGCCCACAGCCGGCGGATCGGCACAACCTGCTGCGGCCGGAGACGGTGGAGAGCCTGTTCTACCTGTACCGCGTCACGGGGGAGCGCAAGTACCAGGACTGGGGCTGGGAGATCCTGCAGAGCTTCAGCCGCTTCACGCGGGTGAGCGCCCGTCCACCCTGGGTCACAGCTGGGCTATGGGGCTCGGGCTGGCCCTGCCTCCACGGTGGTGGTGGACTGAGTTGGGGAGGAGCCTTGGGGTAGCTGCCTCACAGCCTGTGGGCCCTGGCACCCTCCTTTCTGAGCTTCATGGTGTGGGACCCACAGTCCTCAAAGGGGCCGGGTACCCTTCATTTTCATCTCTCAGGGCATAGCCTGTCTGGGGAGGGCCCCTGCTGTGGGCCCAGTATCCCCCCAATTTAGGAGGCAGGTGCACCCACCACCGGGGCACCATCCCCACTGTGGACCAGGTCCCCCTGCAGGTCACATCCTCCCCAGGCCATTGCCCTCCACAGCGAAGCCACATGAGGCATGAATGTCAGCTCCTGACTGCTGTCCCATGGCCAGAGGCCCCGCTACCCCAGCTCCCACCACCTGCCCCGGCCCTCGGCCCTGCGCCCTGTGAGGCCGCTGTGAGGACCCCTCAGCTCAGTTCTGGGGGAGGCAGTTTCTCTCCTGGTCACTTGATGGTTGTTAGCACTTCCAGGTGGGGCGGCCATCACCCCAAGACTGCACTGGGGGCACCTGGCGGTGAGGCTGAGTGGGGGTGCAGGGTGCGCCAGCCTAGTGAGAAGGCCACATGCACCGTGGGGTGGGGGTGCCCTGTCTCCTGACGAGGCCCTGGCTGTGCACAGGTCCCCTCGGGCGGCTATTCTTCCATCAACAACGTCCAGGATCCTCAGAAGCCTGAGCCCAGGGACAAGATGGAGAGTTTCTTCCTGGGGGAGACGCTCAAGTACCTGTTTCTGCTCTTCTCGGATGACCCGGATCTGCTCAGCCTGGACGCCTACGTGTTCAACACCGAGGCCCATCCTCTGCCCATCTGGACCCCCGCCTAGTGGGGACGGCTGCTGTGGGGGCCTTCAGGGGGGGCAGAGGTGCCTTGTTGGGTCTGTGGCATGTTCCAGGGGCCCATGTGGCCCCGGCAACTGCTGAGTGACCGGGGTTCCCACCTGGCTCTGGGCTCCTCCTGGCCTCTGCTTTCATCAGGACACAGTAAGGCCAAGTCAACCTGCGTGTGATTTAGGGTGGGCCACCGGAGCCTCCGCCTACTTCCCCAAAAAATAATCATGACTCAAGATTGTTGAAACCTGAGCACCTCTCTGTGGGCTGACCACGGAGGGCTTTGAGGTGGTCCCAGAACCTGTGGTGACCAAATGGACCGCCCGGGGTGCAGCCTGCCCAGGATCATGAAGCCTCAGGTGTCCCCACCCAAGGGTCCAGAGGGGCTGCCCTGACCCCACAGGCCTGAGGCTCCAGGGCTGGCTCTGGTGTTTACAAGCTGGACTCAGGGATCCTCCTGGCTGCCCTGCCGGGGGCTTGGAGGGCTGGACAGCACGTCCATCTGGCTCACAGGCCACTCCAGTGGAATGGGTCTTTTCAGTGGTGATAAAAGTCGATTTGCTCTAACTGATGTCACTGTGTCTGTAGGGGTCTCCATGACTAGAAAGTCTGGGTGATGTTAGGGAGGGTCAGTTCTTCAGGTCACATCTCAGAATTCAGTTTGCTGAAACTGGACTCCAGCTGTCCCCCGCCGCTGGGCAGGGAGTGGCCCTGGGGTCCTCGGTGTCACTGGCCCTGTGGGGCGGATGCTTAGCGGAAGGTGTCCTCGCTCCTGTGTCTCACATGGGCCGCCTCCCTGCAGGGCTGGCACTGGGGCACATGGCTAAGGGATGTGTGGGCCCAGGTCGGGCACCTCCCAGCAGCCTGGCAGGGCTGTGGCCCCATGCCCTGGGCCACGGTGGCAGTCATCCTCGTCACTCCACTGCCAGCTGCAGCCATCCCTGTCCCAGTGCTGACCCTGGGCCTTGGCTGAACCAGGTGACCTCAGGGCTGCGCTGCTCCCATAAAGAATCTGTCACCTTCACTTGTGGAAGACGTCCCTTCCCTGGGAAGCCAGAGCTGGTAGCAGCACAGGGCAGAACCACCTGGACACGGCTTGGGACAGCCACCCATTCCCCCGACAGAGGTCTGAGCCCTGAGTGTGGGCCTCCTCTCCCACCTCACGCTGGGCCGGACCCTGCACTCCTCCCTCTGTGTTTGGAAAGGGAACAGTAGCTGTGATGTGGCCCTGAGGCCCACCCCATGTCACACTGGGCCCAGTGCTGCCCTCCTGGGCCTGGTGCCCCATGGCCAGCTGAACAGGACTGGGACAGTGGGTTGGGCCTGAACAGCCGGAAAAGGTATACCTTCTCCATCTCACCCAGACCCCTGGGACCACATGGGGGCAGCCAGCCGTGTGTCCCTTGGGGGCTGAAAGCCGTGGCCTCCCCTGGAGCGGTTGCTGTGTCAGAGGATGTCGGGGAAGGCTATCACCTCGAAAGTGTGGCTGCAGCCTCCGTCTGCCACAGCTCGGCAGAGCAGGGATTCCTGGGGCAGGGGGCCCTACAGGGTAGCCCCAAGTGCTGAGGAGCCTCTGCCTCCACCTTGCTGAACACAGGGCAGGCCCTGACCTCTGCGGGGTGTGCTACCTCCCCAGCCCCGTCTCAAGGGTCTCACTCCCCCAGCCGGTGTGTGGGCCCACAGACAGGAAGGACAGGACATACGTGGCCTCCACACGTTTATTCAGCCCCTTCCCTCTGCCGCCAGCCACCTCTTGAGCAAAGCCCCCATGCTAGGCTGGCCACCGTGGCTGAGCTTCAGGGACCCAGAAAGTGCAGACTTTCTGGGCGGGGGCCGGCCTGCTCCTCACTCCACAGGGAGCCTTGAAACCTGTCCCCCAGTCGCCCTGTGCTCAGAGGCGGAGTCTGGGCCTCCCACGCAGGGCTGGCTGCGGCTCACGCCTGGCTGCCTTTACCCACTCGCCAATGACGGCAGCCTCCAGCTTTCGCGCCTCGACCACGGAGGCAGGGTCTTCCGGGTGGGAGGCTCTGGGGAGCAGCCACAGAGGGGCCCATCAGCCCCAGCCCTCAGCGAGCCTGCCCCGCGCCCACGGGTTGAGCCACCTCCCTGCGCACCTGAGGTCGAGGTGATGCGCTCCCCCCTGGATGGTGACAGCGATGACCGACGTGCTCAGGTTCCTCTGAATCTGTGGTCAGCAGAAAGAACTCCATCAGGTGATGAATGAGGCGATGCCGCCTCCGGGGCCCACGGAGAGAGGAGACGTGAGGGGGTGGAGTCAGGAGTCGGTGCCGTCAAGCAACCAGGGAGAGAACCAGCCAGAGACAGGCGGGAAGGGACCAGCCGGGGGCAAAGCCGGGTGAGATGGGAGCGAGGGACCCACGCCTGTGATCCCGGCACTCTGGAAGGCTGAGAGGTGAGCATCGCTGGAGCCCAAGCTCGAGACCAGCCTGGGCAACATGGTGAGACTGTCTTTACAAAAAAATATATTTTTTAAATTAGCCGGGCCTGGTGGGGCGAGGCTGTGGTCCCAGTTAATGGGAGGCTTGAGCCTGGGTGGCCGAGGCTGCAGTGAGCGCTGTCTGGCCACTGTACTCCAGCCTGGGGACAGAGCAAGATCCCGTCTCAAACACAACTTAAAAACCTAAGGAGGTCAGGACTCACCCCGCCCCCTGCCCAGGGGTCCAGGTTCCCATTGGAGAAGATGATGTTGCTGGCGGCTCTGAGATCTGCAAAGGGCAGAGAAAGTGGTGATGGGGGGCCCCTTGGGGGCTGTGAGCCGTGGGCAGGGGTGCAGAGTGCGGGGCAGAGAGCAGGATGCTGCCTCCCACCCCAGCCTTACCACCCCCCCAGAAGTTGGTCTGCAGCCAATCGGGCCGGGGCCACACGCCCCAGGTGTCCCGGCAGTACTCCCGGCGGAGCTCCTCCGTGAAGGGCAGGTCGGGGAACATATCCGTCATGTTGTTGCTGGCGAGGGTCAGGTTGATCTCGGTGCAGGCCTGCGGGCACCCCACCCAAGTCAGGCCAGCCCATGGCCACCCACACCCCCACACCTGGTAGTCCCAGGCCCTGGCGTCCATAACCTGGTAGTCCCAGGCCCTGGCGTCAGGGCCGGTGCCACAGCCGGTGGGGTCGGCACAGTTGTGGTAGAGACGGTAGATGTCGTAGCAGTGCTCCGAGCCCGAGGCGTTGTAGACCAGCCCTGGGGAGGAGAGGCACTGGGCCCAGTGGCCACACACACACCGTGCGCTCCGGCCACCAACCTGTCCCCCTTGGAAGGGTCCTGCAAGGGATCCGGGACTCTGGGGTCTGTGGGTCCCACTGAGGAAAGCCCTCCAGGCTCGCTACTTGGAGGCTGGGGGGTTCTGTGCTGCCAGCCCTGGGCCTGCCTGTAGAGGGCCCGTCTACTGCCCGGCATTGCCCTCCGTGCCTGGGGACCCTAGAGACCCCTTAGCAGCACCCACTAAGCTGGGCCTGGCTATGGCCACCGCCTCCCCCAAGACTGCTGGGAAGGCTGTGCTGCCCAGCCCACCTCGGCCCTGGGGCAGGAGGCAGAGCTCCCGCTGGGCTGCAGCCCCTCGCCCCACCCGGCACCCACACTTGCCCATCTGGGGCAGGGGAAGGGCACCTGTTAGCGCACGTAGCCCCACGATCCTCTGGGCCTCACTCAGCAGCCGGTCACAGCCCACCTGGGGTACAGGGGCAACTGCACTCAGTGGGGTCCCCTCCACCAGCTCCACCTCCCTGGCTCTCAGGACGAGGGTCCAACTGCAGGCCACCAGCCTTGGGACGCTCCAGCGACCGGGGAGGCGCCTCACCTTGACAGGGTTGGCAGGGAGGGGACCCAGGAAGTCGGTGGGGTAGGGGTAGTCCATCATGGCCAGCACAGTGAAGGCGTTGCGGGCAAACACGAAGAGCTGGGTCAGGTCCTTCTCCAACAGTGGCTGGCAGGTGCCGAACTCCCAGCTGACTTTGTCGTAGGCTGCAGGGATGTGGGCAGGGGCTCAGACTTGGGTGCAGCTGGCCCTGGGGCGGGTCAGGTGGTGCGGGGCGGAGAGCGGCCTCACCTCCCTGTAGGAACAAGTCCTTGATCTGCCGGAACGCTTCCCGCACCGCCTGGGTGCATTTGGGACCCTGGTCCTCAAAGTCCTGGGGGAAAGAGAGTGAGCTCGCTGCAGCCGCTGTCCCTCAGGGGCCTGGAGGACCCCAAGCCTCACTCACCGCCGTGACATCCCGGAAGAACTGGGTGGAGTCGCCGAGCCCTGCCACGGCTAGGATGGGCGCACTGGCTGCCAGCGCCCCGGCCACCAGGTGGGGGTACTTCATCCTCAGGTAGGCGCTGAGCATGCCCCCATAACTGCGCGAGGGGTACAGGGTTAGGGCTGCTGCCCCCAACACCCACTTCCCCTCTCCATCCTCAGGGGCCCACAGGCACCACCACATGGAGGACCTGACACTTCCAAAGACCCACAGATTCCCACCCTGGGCCTGGGGCAGGTGTGGCCCTCACTGGGAAAGGCCACCGTGTGGCCAACACATTGCAGCTGAGCCGGTGGCTGGGAGGACAGAGTGAGTGGGAGGGCTTCCTGGAGGAGGCAACACTGAGTCTGGAGCCGCCGTCCGAGGCCTTCGGAAAAGGCAGCGGTGGGAGTCAGAGCGGAGAGGCCGGGCCAGCGCGCAGCCACCGCTGCAGACAGGGTGGGGCGAGGGGCGCTGGGCTGGGGGTGCTGGGTGGGGGCAGGGGAGGGTGGGGGTGCGGAGGCCGGGGAAGGCGACCACCTGCCACCGAAGGCGATGGCGGGGACGTCCTGGGCCCCGAGGTCGCGCCGTAGCGCGCGGAGCAGCTCTGCGAAGTCGGCCAGGGCCTGCTCCACCGTCAGCAGCCCCGTGTGTCCGCGCTGCGTGGACCGCTCGCCGAATGGCAGCGACTTCCCGTAGTAGCGCTGAGGGGGTGGGAGGACGCACTGCTGAGCCCGGCCCCGCGACCCCGCCCGCGACAGACCCCCGCCCGCGACCCCGCCGGGCACCCACGTGCTCCGCGAAGACCAGTAGAGCCCCCTGCTCGGCCGCCAGCTCCGCGATGAAGCCCGAGTTGTTGGCGAAGTTCCACACGTCGCCCTCGTTCCCGGTGTAGAAGAAGATGGGCCCCTCGCCCCGGATCCAGAACTTGTCTGTGGGGAGGGTGGGTGAGGCCGGGGGGCCGGGGACTTGGGGGCCGGGGAGATGGGGGGCTGGGGTCGGAGGGTGGGGACCTGGGGGCGGGGCCGAGGTCTCACCCGACACCAGGACGCGCTGGGGGAAGGTCTTGTTGCCGAGGCGCTCGAAGTTGAAGTGGTCCAGACGCTGCTGGAAGTAGCGCTCCTGGAAGCCGGGGTCCGGGGCCCTGCGGACCTCAGAGGCGGGGCCGGAGCCGGGGAAGGGGCCTGGGATGGGGCCGGGGGCACCGCCGCACTCACCCCTCGCCCGGAGGCCGTGCAGCCCGAGCGCCAGCAGCAGGACCGCGGCCCAGGGAGCAGAGCCCATGTCGCCTTCCGCGGGCGCCTGTCAGGTGGGCGGGATCACGGGGCCGCGCTCCTCCCTCCAGGCCCCACGTGATCCCGGCGCCCGCGGTCCCCAGGGAGACGGGCGCCGCGCTGTGGGCCGTGCGCCCCAACACCCTGCCCCGTGGCCGCCGCCCAGAGGTCCCTCCCGAGCACTGCTCGAGGAAGCCGGCAGCCCCTGGGGGTCTGGGTCCCTGGGCCACCTCGCTGGCTCGTCCTCCCACCGCGGCCCCACCCGGAGCTGCCTCAGGGCGCGTGCCTGTTGAGCCCCGCCAAGCCTCCCCGCGCTCCGGGCCGGTGTCCCACTCGAAGGCAGGGCCAGGAAAGGGGTGAGCGTTCTGCTGCACCTGACGGCCTTGGGGAGATGGGGTTCCTGGGGGTCCCAAACAGTGATGGCGCCTGAAGAAAGGGACCCAGTGTTTGTCCAAGCGACAGCAGGGGCTGGGCGGGTGGGGGGACGGGGCCTGGGATCGGGCAGGGGTGTGGGGTGCTCCCGGAGGGTCTCGGCAGGGTCAGAATGTGGCCATGTGGCTCCTAAGATTCAGGAATTGCTACCTGTTTTTCCGCCTGGCACCAACACAGCCCTGCAGGGACAAGGCGGTACCAGAGGCCTCTGCTGGGAGCTGGGGCCCCCTCACTGAGGAGCACCCAGAGGACGGAGGAAGTCACCTTTCCTGTGTCCAGTCCAGGGCGTGGGTGAGGGGCCACACAGGTGGGTGCTAGACCAGCCACGTGGAGTCCTGCTGGGGATGGACATGAGCTGCTCGCCAGGCCCGGGTCAGGTGCAGGGGCAGCTCAGCCGCAGATGGAAGGGGAGTGATCCTGTCTGTCTCCCAAGACTGCCCCCGGCCAGCATGACCCTGCCCTGCCCATCCTGGGCTGAGTGGGGAAGACCAGCCACTTCCACAGCCACTCACGCCATGCCCCCCCGGTGCCTCACACAGAGGCACCCCCACGGTGGGTGACTGGTGGCTGGGGCCCTCAGCATGGTGGCAGTGACCGTCATGTCACACCACATCAGGAGGTCATCCAGGGCCACACAGCATCCCCACCACCGTCCTCATATCCCACCCTGTCCCATGCCCACACAGCGCCTGGGGCTGCCTGCTGGGGCCCCCACAGGAGAGGGGTGAGGACAAGCAGCAGCCCTCCTTGGATGTGTGGGCACCTTGGGTAGCCAGAACTCCACCGGCACCCGTCACCCAGGACTGCAGCCCTGGAGATGCCAGCAAGGCTGAGAGCAGGGAGGCGGCTCCCCAAACACACCAGGGCCTGGAGACGCCCCCGCATGTGACCACACGCAGGCACGCAGGCTTGGCTTGGCCCACAGAAGGGCCAGAGCCCCGGGGAGGGGTGCAGGGGCAGGGCTTTCAAGGAAGCCATGTCCCCTCCTGTCCACAGCCCAGGCCTTGATGTCACTCTGGGCAGCAGCCAGGGCCTCCCAAGCTGGGGAGGGTGGGCACGGGGCCAGCCAGCACAGCTCTGCAGGGAGTGAAGATGGCCACAGCCCCCTGCCCACATCCCTGGACACCCCACACCCCACCGCACACAGAGGCCAGGCAGGCACCCTAGGGAAGGTGGATGGGTGGGGCTGGCAGATGGGCCAGGCACACGGGCAGGCAGACCCCTGGCATGGCCACCTGACATGTTGAGGGGCACAGCTCCTGTGGGGCACCCCCCCAGGTCTGCATTGCCAGCACCCTTGTCAGCCTGTACAGGGCACAGTAGGTCACTAGGGGCAAGTGGGCTGAGGCCAGTCATTCCTGTGCAGATACAGGGCTCTTGGGGGGCCTCTCTGCCCACCCTGGAGAGGGACAGATGGGCAGGCCAGCTGCAGAGCCACCAGCTGAGGAGGTGAGAGGTCCCTAGGCAGGGGACTCCCAGGAGTCCGGCCAGCGAGGGCGAGGCTGCTGAGCCCAAACCCTCCCCAAGGCCACCTGCCTCCACCAGACCATCCGGCAGCTCCTCCACACACTGATTCCTGCTGGGACCACCCATCCCACTCTCCACGGCTCACAGACTGGGGGCCATGCCTGGCCATGCCTGGCCATGCCTGCCATCTGTGCTGCCCCTCAGACCGACAGGCTGCAGGCGGGCGGCTGGCAGGCGGCTTTGGTGCCTGTGGCCATAACCTGCTGTGTCTGCACTGAGGGTGGTGCTGGTCTTCGCTGAATTGTACATAATATAAAATTTACCACTAACCACTTTGATGTGTGAGGTTCGGTGGCATCAAGTACTTTCACAACACTGCGCTGAAATCACAATTTCCCAAACCACCTCATCACCGCAACAGAAGCTGTAGCCACTAAACAGTGACCCCCCAGCCCCTGGACCCACCACGTTATCATTCGTCTCTGTGGCTCTGCCCACTCCAGCTATGTCATATCAGTGGAATCCTACAGGATTTTATCCCCCCATTTTTTTTTTCCTGGTGACAGTCCTGCTCTGTCACCCAGGCTGGAGTGCAGTGGCGCGGTCTGCCATCTCTGCCTCCTGGGTTCAAATGTTTTCCTGCCCCAGCCTCTGGAGTAGCTGGGATTATAGACACCCACCACCACACCCAGCCCATTTTTGTTTTTTTGGGTTTCTTTCCCCCGAGACAGAGTCTCGCTCTGTCACCCAGGCTACAATGCAGTGGCGCGATCTCGGCTCACAGTAACCTCCACCTCCCGGGCTGAAGCAATTCTCCTGCCCCGGCGTCCCGAGTAGCTGGGATTACAGGCACACACCACCACGCCCAGGTATTTTTTGTATCTTTAGTAGAGAAGGGCTTTCACCATGTTGGCCAGGCTGGTCTCAAACTCCTGACCTCAGGTTATCTGCCCGCCTTGGCTTCCCAAAGTGCTGGGATTTCAGGCGTGAGCCACCTCGCCCGAACTTTCAGCCACTGTGAATACTGATACAATGAACGTGGGTGTGAAAGCCACTGTCTGAGTCTCTGCTTTCAACTCCTTTGTATTTCCAGAAACAAATTTTGGGGATAAGATCTATGCCAGTTTACCTCCCTGCCAACGGTGCACAGGAGCTCCGGCCTCTCCACATCCTCAGCGACACGCACCACGTTCTGCTCTTTGGGTAGCAGCCCTCCTAACCAGAGAGGTGGTCTCCCTCAGTGGTTTTGATCTGCCTCTCCCTAACCATCAGTGATGTTGAACCCTTTTCCTGTGTTGACTGGCCATTTGTGTGTCTTCTCTGGAGAAATAATGCCTATCAGAGCCTTCGCCCATTTTTTAATTAGGTTGCTTTTGAGTTTCATTGTTTTTAAAAATCATCTGGATCTTAACCCTTTGTGATTGGCAAATCTTTTCTCCCGTTCTGTGGGTTTTTTATTCTGCTGACGCTGCCCTTTGATATGCAAACGTTATTCCGGTGACGTCCAGTTCATCCGTCTCTTTTGCTGCCTGTACTTTTGGTCTATGCTTTTTTTTCTCAAGGGTTTTATAGTTTTAACTTTTTTTGTTTTGGGTTTTTTTTTGAGACAGTCTCACTCTGTCACCCAGGCTGTAGTGCAGTGGTGCCATCTGGGCTCACTGCAACCTCCACCTCCTGGGTTCAAGTGATTCTCCTGCCTCAGCCTGCTGAGTAGCTGGGATTACAGGAGCCTGCCACCACACATAGCTAATTTTTGTATTTTTAATAGACGAGGTTTCACCATCCTGACCAGGCTGGTCTCAGGTCTCAAACTCCTGACCTCAAGTTATCAGCTCGCCTCAGCCTCCCAAAGTGCTGGGATTACAGGTGTGAGCCACCGTGCCCAGCCAGTTTTATATATATCTATATCTATCTATCTATCTATCTCTCTCTCTCTCTCTCTATATATATATATATATATTTTTTTTTTTTTTTTTTTTTTGAGACAGTGTCACTGTCACCTAGGCTGGAGTGCAGTGGCGCAATCTTGGCTCACTGCCACCTCTGCCTCCTGAGTTTAAGCAATTCTCCTGCCTCAGTCTCCGGAGTAGCTGGGACTACAGGCGTGCGCCACCACACCCAGTTAATTTCTTTGTATTTTTTAGCAGAGACAGGGTTTCACCATGTTGGCCAGGATGGTCTTGATCTCCTGACCTTGTGATCCACCTGTCTCGGCCTCCCAAAGTGCTGGGATTACAGTTGTGAGCCATTGCGCCCAGCCAACTTTTTTTAAATTAAAAAATACCTGGAACGCTTCACCAATTTGCGTGTCATTCTTGCGCAGGGGCTGTGCTAATCTCTGTATTGTTCTGATTTTAGTCTACATGAGGCCGAGGTGAGCACGGTCTGGCTCTTACGTTTCGGTCACTGATCCATTTTGAGTTGATTTTGGTGGATAGTGTGAGGTAGCAGCCCAGCCTCATTGCCTGTGAATATCCAGTTTTCCCAGCACCATGTGTTGAAGAGGTTAGTTTTTTGTTTTGTTTTTTTCCCAAGACAGGCTCTTGCTCTGGAATGCCGTGGTTCAGTTTGCTCCCTGCAGCCTCTGCCTCCCAGGCTCAAATTCTCCTGCCTCAGTCTCCGGAGTAGCTGGGACTACAGGTGTGCACCACCTTGCCTGGCTTTTTTTTTTTTTTTTTTTTTTTGAGATAGAGTTTCACTCGTTTTGCCCAGGCTGGAGTGCAATGGTGTGATCTCGGCTCACTGCAACCTCCCCCACCCGGGTTCAAAGATTCTCCTGCCTCAGCCTCCCGAGTAGCTGGGACTATACTCATGTGCTACCACGCCCAAGTGATTTTTGTATTTTTAGTAGAGAAGGGGTTTCACCATGTTGGCCAGGATGGTCTCAAACTTCTGACCTCAGGTGATCTGTCCACCTCGGCCTCCCAAAGTGCTGGGATTTGAGGCGTGGGCTGCCGCCCCTGACCACCTTCTGCTAGCTTTGGATTTTGTTTGCTCTTCTAGTTTGTCAATATTTAAATCTAGGTCACTGATTTGAGATCTTCCTTCTCTTTTAACGTAGGTATTTGTTACATCCTGGCCAAACCTTTTGGAGTAACCCCAGAAAGGAGCGGCAGAGGCATTCCCACAGTGGAGTGCCCCAAACCAGACAGGGCAGGGTGGCACCAAACACCAGGGTGACCCGCCCGAGCATTTACTAGGGGAACTTACGGAGGGTTGCAGCATCCCACAGCAGGCAGACAGGTCCTACACGGCACACCCACAGTGCGGGTCAGGATATGGCCTTTATAGAAGGTTTAGGAAATTTGCTTCTAGCCAGGGCTGGTTTCTTTCAGTTTCCAACAAAATAAACACGCTTCTTTGTGCCCCAGGGAAAAAACATACAGCTGGCCAGGTCACAGAGCGGTCAGGGCACCCTACGTTTCTGTCAGGACAAGAGAAAAAGCAAGTAGAACTGGGGACCCTACGGTGTTTTCTGGTGTTAGATGGGTAATGTGCTGCCTTCGTAAGAAGGTCTGGGGCAGGCTCATCTCACAGGAGTGTGAAACCAAACCAAAAGAATCAGTGTTCACAGTTAATTTTCACCTGAGCATAACCTTTGCTTCATCACATACATTCTGGTAGTTTCTCTTCTCATTTTCATTTGTATTTCCTATCTCCCCTTGTAAGTTCTTCTTTGATCCACTGGTTAAGAGTGTTTTTTATTTATTTATTTATTTTGAGACTGAGTTTCGCTCTTGTCCAGGCTGGAGTGCAATGGTGCAATCTTGGCTCACTGCAACCTCCACCTCCTGGGTTCAAGCAATCTCCTGCTCAGCCTCCCGAGTAGCTGGGATTACAGATGTCCACCACCACACCCAGCTAATTTTGCATTTTTAGTAGAGTTGGGGATTCTCCTTGTTGGTCAGGCTGGTGACGAACTCCCGACCTCAGGTGATCCCCTCGCCTCGGCCTCCCGAAGTGCTGGGATCACGGGAGTGAGCCACCACACCTGGCCTAAGAGTGTGTTGTGTGATTCCCACATCTTTGCAAATGTTCTAGCTTTTCCTGTTACTCATTTCCAATGTCACTCCATTGTGGCTGAAAACATACTCTGATGAATGGGCAGACTCACGTCTATAATCCTGGTGCCTTGGGAGGCCCAGGTCGGAGGCTCATTGGAGGAAAGGAGTTCAGGACCCACCTGGGCCACATATGGGGATCTCATCTCCACAGAAAACTTTAAAATTAGCCAGGTGTGTTGGTGTGCACCTGTAGTCCTAGCTACTTGGGAGGCTGAGGTGAGAGGATCACTTGAGCGCAGGAAGGAGTTCAAGGCTACAGTGAGCTATGGATCATGCCACTGCACTGCAGCCCGGGAGGCGGACACACACATACATGAGTGTACACACACATGTATATACATATCATAATACACCATATCGTGCTGACACTGGAGTCAGCACCACCCTGGTGTTCTCAGAGGCATCAGGGATTTGGCTGTTCTTCCTGAACCAAACCTTCACTGACAGGACATTTTCCTGCTTCTCCGGCAGCCTCCTGACCCCCTCCCAGTCTCCACTGCCCCTGCCCTCCTCCCTGACCCCGATCTTCTCAGCCAGGTGGCGCCCAGGACTAGGCTGGCCCCTTCCTCCAACCTTTGCAGACTACACAAACCATCCATACCTAGGCCTAAACCCTGTCTCCCCTGGCAGACTCTGATCCTGGCACACCCTGCCCACCACGGTCTCCATGGTGCCTCCCAGGCATCTCACACTGGGCAGATCCAAAACGGAGCTCAGTGGTGGCCCCTCCACCAGGTACCCACCCTCCCTCTTCCAGCCCTCAGCTTTTCCCATGGCCAGGCAGCTCTTCTGGCCTCCTGCCTGCACTGCGTCTCCACCTGCAGCCAGAGCAGTTTCAGAGTAAACATCTCTCTCAGACATGCAGTCCACGCCAAAATCTTCCTGCGTACATCAACTGAAAACTCCAGTGCTGCCTCCAGGACCACGGCTGGACTGAGCCAGCCCCCGCCCCGCTCCCAGCCCTGGGAATTTCACCTTCCCGAGTATGCCAAGGTCCCCCTTGCCTCAGGCAGTTTCACTCGGGCTCAAGTCGGCCTCTCCTCACCCTGCCCGGTGCCAGCAGCTTCTCAGCTCTCAGATCTTGCCCTCAGTGCCACGGCCTCCCCTGGGCACTCAGATCCAGCCACTGCTCTTCCCCAGCGCCCTGCTCTTTTCCACACAGGAAGTACCCCATGTGCCAGCTGCCCCTGCCTGTCTGCGGCTGGTTTCTCACCAGCCTCTCCTACCAGTCAGTTTTATTCATCTCTGCAGAGTCAGAACTAAAACGGGAACCGGCTACGGTTGGTGTTCAAGGAGAATGAAGTAAAGAATATGCCTGTTTCTTCTAAGCCAAAGATATAGGTCGTGCCGCCAGAGACAGACTCAAAAGGGTCTCAGACAGGCCTGATCTGAGAGTCTCAGCTGAATTTCAGTGACTCTCCAACTGAGAGTCTATAACACCCCTCAGCCAAAGACCACTGCAAACACGCCCAGAGTTAAAACAAGTTGGGTCTTTTACTCTATGCAGTGTGTACAAACAGACTGGGCGGGGACGCTGAGGTGTCTCAGCAACGGGGTGATGGAGGAAGCTACTACAGGATTTCACCTGCAGTTGGGTGATTTGGGAGATGATCTAAGGCCGGAGGTTTTGGTTCGAGATTAGACGCACGCTGAAGCCAAGAGGTCGAGGCTGCCGTGAGCTGTGATGGCCAGTGCACTCCAGCCTGGGAGAGAGGGAGACCTTGCCTCAAAAACATAAAAATAAAAGATTAGACACCGTGAGAAGGCAGAGAGCAATTCTCAGCTATGTTCGCTGCAAGTGTCAGGGTGAGCTGTGCGTTCCCTGCTCCGAGTCAAGAAAAGGTCTCGGTTCATCTCACTCTCCCGTGGTGTCTGCGTGGCACTTCACGCCGCACAGAACATCGATCGCCTGCCTCCGAGGGTCACACCAGGCCGCAGTGACGCGCCAGGGGCCGCTCGCTTTCTCAGGAGCAACAGCTCCAGGGGTTTCCGCCGAGAGGGACCGCGGACCGGGCCAGGACCTTGCAGAAAAGAGAAAGAAACCCAGACAACCTGCTGGGGCTCCGGTCCCTCCTCCCGCCACTGCCCCGCGAAATTCGGGCCGCTGAGATCGCTGCAGGAGAGTCGACCAAGGCTGCCCCGGCTCGGAACCCGTATTTGCCCTTTTTTGCTGGGAAGGGGTGGAGAGGGCGGCGCTGGGGGAGTCGTGTCCGCCCGCCCAGGCCCCGCTCCGAGCCGCAGGCCGGGAGGGCGGCGAGCGCAGCGGCCCTCACCCTCCAGCACCAGCGCCGCCGGCAGCTCTAGCGGGTGCCGTAGCCCTGGCCCAAGCTCAGCGTCACCGAAATGAAGTCCGGATGCGGCGGCTGCGGCAGCGGATGCGCAGAAGGGGGCCTCGAGGAACCGCCGGCGGCGTCCGGAGACCCGGCCCTAAAACACACCGCGCGCCCCGCCTCTCGGATATGCGTGGGCAGCCATGGCGGCGCACAGTCGCCCGCCGTGTACGCAGCGCGCACGCGTACGCAATGCGTCTCCACGCACAACCTACTGCGCCTGCGCCGAGCGCTTGCGGCTGCGTCGCCTGCGTCCACCCCCGGTGCGCGGTAGCCCGGGCAGCAGGGCGGGCCTTGGCTCTGCCTGGGGTGCGGTCGCTGCCTGGGGCTCTGGGGCCGTCCGCCGCGCGCTGCTGGAGTTGGGCTCCTCTCGCCTACTGTCGTCTGGCGGCCCCGGCTCTGCACGCGCCGTCGCGGGGAGGCGCAGACACCCGAGACCCGGGGAGCGGGGCGGGGGGTGTCGGGCGGCGCCGCCATGTTGGCAGGGAGCCCCCGCGCTCAGCGCCTGGGTTCCGCGGCGCGGGTGTGGAGCTGGGCCGCCCTTGGGCGCCGTCCTTGGCCGGGGGCCACCCTGGTCGCGGGGTCACAAGGAAGGAGCCCAAGGCCTCATCCAGGTGGGGGCCGAAGGAAGGACCGAACCCTCCCGAGGTCGCGGACCCCGCAGGGCGGGGCGAAACTGGGCGGCACCCGGGCTGGGGTGGCCGCTCCGCCGCGGCTCGAGCGAGGCACCTGGGCAGGGGCCGAGCGAGCGGGCCGCTGGACCCACAGTCCACGCGCCATAGACGGGTCGGGGCTTTCAGACCCGGCTCCGGCCCTCGAACCCGGCAGCCTTGGAGGTGAGCTCGAGATGACTGCGCTTCCTGCGCGCGTTGTCCTCCGCCAGAACGCCCAAAACAGCAAAGCGGCCTCCGTGGCCGCCCGAGGCCCTCCCTGCCTGGGTTCTCCTCTGCCAAGCCTCGGCCCCGCCCTTCCCTCATTCTCTCCTGGA